GGTCTAAATGTAATAGGTTTGGTGTCTTCTGGACTATGAACCAAACTTAGATCAATAAAAATTTAACTCACAGAATTACTGGTGAAATATAATATTTCTATGAACCAATAACTCTCATTGTAAGTCAGAGATTTTATCAATCACATTTCGACCCTCACAATTTTGCTGTTCAACGCGGTTTTGCGCCACTAGGCCATGCGCATGCCTGGTGATTCATGAGAGCTCTAGAGACTAGGCCAAAATCTCATAGGAGCGGCTCACTCCACTCTCATATAGGTGAATTCATCAAGTGTATACTGCTTTTAAATACACCATTCATAAGGACTATGAATTTCATTAAGAATTATAACTCGGCCTCTCAATAAGTAGCAGTCAAGCACTCTCTTTTAGTGCTTCAGTGCCAATATCGACTTGTTATTACCCATATGAACCTACTTCATGGGATCTCCAATCACATAGGTTGGGTTACCATCTCTATTGACAACATATTGGCCTTAACCCCATCTCTTTTGAGTTTTGAAGAATTAATTTTCTTCCCACGGGTTTAGTCAGAGGATTGGCCAAATTTATCTCTGACTTCACATAGTCAATGGAAATTATTCCATCTCTCAACAGCTGTTTTATGACATCATGTCTCAATTTCATGTGTCTACTTTTACAATTATAAGATTTATTCTTTGCTATAGCTATTGCGCCAGGCAAATCACAATGTATAACAAAACAGGAGGCAATACATCCTTTATTAAAGGGATGTTGTTAAGAAGTTTCTTAGCCACTCAGCCTCAGAACATCTAACTCAAGAGCCACAAACTCTGATTTCCATAGTCGACTCTAGCAATGATCGTCTGTTTAGCTGATTTCCAGATATTGCACCACCACCAGGGTGAATACATATCCACTAGTGGATTTTGTCTCATCTGAATCAGAGATCCAGTTTGCATCACTGTACCCTTCTAAAGTAGAAGAAAATCCACTATATAGGATATTATAATTCATGGTTCCTCTCAAATATTTCATTAGTCTATTTAATGCAGACCAATGCTCTCTGTTTCGATAATGAGTATATCTGCTCAGTCTACACACTGCATAGGCTATATCAGGCCTTGTAAAATTCATTAAATGCATCAGACTCCCAATAATTTGAGCATATTTAGACTGAGCAACTAGGTCACCATTATTCTTTTTCAACTTAGAGTTAGCATCAAAAGGAGTGCTCACAGATGTGACATTAAAATATTCAAACTTCTTAAGAAGTCTCTCAACATAATATTCTTGTGACAATATTATGCCATCTTTACTCAGTATAACTTTAATTCCCAATATCATTATTTACTTCACTCAGAATCTTTCATATCAAAATTAGCAGACAGAAATAATTTAGTACTTTGCACAATATTTAAACTTGTACCAAATATAAGCATGTCATCAACATACAGACATATTATCACATAATCATTGTCTACCACTTTAGTATAAACACATTTATCCACCTCAACTGAAGAAAAATTGTCTCTTAGTAAGACTTGTTCAGATTTCTCATACCACTGCTTAGGAGCTTGTTTAAGGCCATTAAAAGATTTAATTATTTACAAACTTTATTTTCTTGTCCAGGAATAACCAAGCCTTCAGGTTGAACCATATAAATCTCTTCTTTTAAATCACCATTTAAAAGCAGTTTTTCACATCATTTGGTGGATAAAAAGCTTACGGATTGAAGCTAAGGAAATTAAAATTCGAATAGAATGAAATCTAGTTACTGGTGAAATGTTAAAAATAATCTATATTTTGTTTTTGAGAAAAACCTTTTGCTACTAACCGAGCTTTATATTTACTAAGATCCATCAGGATTAAAATTTCTTTTTGAAAATTCATTTACAAAGGTTTTGCACCAGGAAGTAAATCAGTTAAAATCCATGTATTATTTTTCTTAATATTTTAATTTTTATTGCCTCTTTCCAATATTTAGCATCTGAAGAAGATATTGCTTCAAAATAATTTGATGGTTCATTATCAACAAGAAAAGTCTGAAATCATTTCCATTAAGAAAAATATTCTTTCTAGGCCTTTTATGCTTCTCAGTTCCTTATTAGAGATAATTCACTATTTGTTTTCAACAGGTGAAATGAGAAATTTTATCAGATAGTGGAAAATATGTTCAAAGAATTCTGCATTCTTTGTCTCAATTATAGTATTGCAATCCAAGCACATCACTTTTTAAAAACAAGAAATCTATATGCAACATTATATTCAGCATATCCAATAAGCATGCAATCAGTAGTTTTAGAACCTATTTTTCTCTTTTTTGGTTCAGGCAAAAGAACTTTAGCAAGGCACCCCCACACTTTTAAATATTTGAAGTTAGGTCTATAGCCCCTCCACAATTCATATGGAGTTTTGCCAGTTCTTCTATGTGGTATTCTATTTTGTAAGTGACATGCAGATAAAATAGCTTCACCCCACAAATTATCAGGAGCATTAGAACTAACTAACATAGAGTTCATTATCTCTTTTAATGTTCTATTTTTCCTTTCAGCTACTCCAATTGACTCAGGTGAATAAGGCGGAGTTACTTCATGAATTATTTCTTCTTTTTCACAAAAATTATTTAAAGATAAATATTCTCCACCTCTATCAGATCTGATTCTTTTGATTTTTCTACTAAGTTGATTTTCAACCTTAGTTTTATAAGAAATAAAAGCATTAAATGCATCATCTTTATTTCTAAGCAAATACAACTTAGTATATCTAGAAAAATCATCAATAAAAGTCACATAATATCTTTTACCACCTCTAGTCATAGTCTGCTTCAAGTCGCCTAAATCAGTGTGAATTAAAGATAACAATTCAGTTTCTCTATTTACGGAAAAACATGTCTTTCTAGTACTTTTAGCTTCAGCACATATTTCACACTTGTTAATATTAGTTGAGTCTAAACCAGATATTAATCCTAGTGACTGCATTTTCTTTATATATGTGACATTAACATGTCCTAGTCTAGCATGCCATAGAGAAATAGAGTTAACCATATAAGCAGAAGTAGATACGTTTCCATTGATAACATCAGAAATATTAAGTACAAAGAGTCCTTGGTTACAATAGCCCTTTCCCACAAATACATTATTTTTGATCATTATGATCTTATCAGATTCAAATGACACTTTTACTCTGGCTCTTCCCAACAAGGATACAGAGATCAAGTTTTCCCTCATAGTAGGAACATGCAGTACATCAACAAGGGCTAAAGTTTTTCCCGAAGTGAGTTTCAGGAGAACTTTACCCTTACCCAAGACTTTGGTAGTACTTGAGTCTCCAAGGTAGACCTCTTCTCTATCATCCTCTACAGGAGTATAAGAGGAAAATGCTTCTCGATTTGCACAAATGTGCCGAGTAGCCCCAGAGTCTATCACCCATTCTTTTGCATGTGCTACAATGTTTACTTGAGAAATGACAACTGCAATAATATCACCTCCTTCGGCTAAGTTAACCTTAGGAGTATTAGTTTTTCCTTTGTCATTTCCTGCTCTGTACTTGAACTGTGAGGCATGATGGCCCGGTTTTCCACAAACAAAACAAGAGCCTTTTTTTCTTTTAAGGTTAGGATTTTTAGGCTTGCAACCTTGAAACTTATTCTCGTACCTTTTGCGATTGTTGTTGCTGCTTTGCACTAAGTTTGCTTTAAGAGCTGTCATCCTAGCTTTGGTAGATTTTTTTCTGTTTGAATCTTCAATTAGGATGTGGGTCACAATTTCCTCAATGGTGAAATTTTTCTATTTGTGCTTTAAGTTATTTTTGTAGTCACTCCATGAGTCAGGCACCTTCTCAATTAGCACTCCAGCAGCAAACTTCTCTGGTAAAGACATTCCCTCGGCCTTTAAGTCTTCTAACAATTTTTGAAATTCATTGATTTGTACGTTCATCTCTTTATCATCTCTCATCTGCCATTGATAAAATTTTCCTACTACAAATTTTTGTTTTGTAGCATCTTCAGCAGTGAATTTTTTAATTAAAGCTTCCCATATAGCTTTTGCTTCTTTATAACTGCAATGCACGTCAAACAGTTCATTAGAAATAGTTTGCAATATGGTATGACGGCATACCTTGTTGGCGTGTTGCCATGATTCCACTATTTTATTATCAGCGTCTGCACTAGGTTGTGGATGCAGCAGTGCATGTGCAACACCATGGACATCAAGTAGTGAGAAAATACGTTCTTGCCAACGCTTGAAATTTTCATTGGCGAAAATTTCAATATTTGACACATCTGGAAATGGCCTGGCATATGGCAGTGCAACTGGGGCTGGAGCAACGGACGTAACGCCAACATTGGCGGTATCAGTAGTATTTTCAGCATCAGTGTTATTTGCCACAGTTTCTTAAATTGTAGTAATTGAGAGCAATAATTTCAATAATAACATTGCTTCAATATTATTTGTAAACGGATACACGGATTGACTTGAGTCGTGCTGGGCACTGTCCTAAGAAACTATTTCAGCAGTGTGAAATGTCTCTCCAGGATTAAACAAACCTACCTCTATTTCGGAGGATACAAGAATCAGCAAAATATTAAATTACAAACGCAGCTAGCTAGTAGAAAAAGTAAATAAGAAAGGAAACAACTAATATTTAATATTGGACAATAAAGGAAGAAGAGAGGAGTGAAAGGAAAGGAGAGGAATGATGTTTGTTTTCTGATGAATATTTCCTTGTCAAGTGAGAGCCTTTTTATAGTTGAAATTGCATGAAACTTGGCTTTTGCATGGCAAAAACGTGGCTAAACATTTGCCACTTTTTAGTCTTCTTTTGCCACTAATCTTAACTTTCTAGAAAGGCTAAAACACTTGTCCAAAGGGCATTAAAATATTGCCACACATAAACAAAAGAAGACAAAAAGTTTCATGATACAAAATAGATTAGCCTTAGAGATGGCAGATCGGGGTGTCAATAAAATACTAATAGAGAGAAGAAAATAGTCATTACATTATAAAATTACTGGAGGGGATATGATTTTCACGTTCACCTCATTATTTAAATTCCATTTGACCATTCTTAGCAAAACGTGACGCACGTGGAGTTTAAGCAATAGGATGGACTCCAGGTAGGTGGGGAAATGCGATACACGTGAAACGCGATTGGATCCGATCGGACGGTGGAAAGAAGTCCATACAGTCAACGACATCACGATTCACGTCAACCAATTTTCCTATTTTTATTCTCAAAAAGCCACTAATGGCTTCTTCTGCTTCATCTATTTTTTTACCAATTACACAAAAATGTCTCTACTAATTCCAAAGTTCCTTTTCGTAAGCTTGATAGTTCTACTGAGCAGTATCGTATTGGGGTTCAGTGAAGCTGAAGCATCATATCAAGTTTACAAAATCAAAGTGGTCAATGAATTCCCCCACGACCCCAAGGCTTACACTCAGGTTAAATTCTAGTAATTACTTTTACTTGTAGCTATAATTTCAGCTTAATTTTATTAATAATTTAATTAGAGTTGCTTTTGATCCCTAATGCCATGTATTTATCCTCTTCAGGGGCTTCTCTATGCAGAAAATGATACTCTCTTTGAATCAACTGGACTGTACGGACGTGTGAGTTGCCTTTAGACTTAATGTGATTTCATGATTATTTTTTAGGCTTAGTAAATATGGTTAATTCTCTATTTTTTAAATGCAGTCAACCGTTCGAAAAGTTGCACTGAGGAACGGTAAGGTACAGCTACAACTTGCTTACTGAAAGTTTTTAACATAATGCCAAATCCCAACAATTATATTTATAAGCTGTGTTATCTGCTTTTTATGAAGTTTATCGTGATGTTTTGCATGAAAAGAACAAGTTTCTAATGCTGAAATCTCCACAGGTTGAGGCTGTTCATGAAATGCAGTCTTCTGACTTTGGAGAGGGTTTAACTCTTATTGGTGAGAGGTTCGTGAGTAAATGGATCCATGCATCTTTTCCTGATTCTGCAAATTAGTGGAAAATGTGTTGTGCTAACCTGCCAAGTAAAAAAACTTGCATTTATCAGATAGGATAAGTATGTAAGAATGTAGGACTTTTATGTTGTTCTACTGTCTCCTATTAATGGTTGCAAACTCGCAATTAAACTTGGCACTGACTATCGCGACATCTTTTTCATTCACGGTTATGAATATATCAAATTTTGGTAGGAAGTTTATGTAAGCCTAATGATGCTTATATATTAAGTGCATTTGGATTTTGTATTAATTTGGGGGCAGTTTTCATTATGAAACTGCTGATACTTAATGCTGGTTGGAAGAATTTCATTATACGTATTTCAAAATCTGAAGTTTTAACTGTGTTTCGAAGTAGCAGCCTTCCTTACAACAACAACAACAACAACATACCCAGTGTGTTCCCACAAGTGGGGTCTGGGGAAAGTGGGATGTACGTAGACCTTACTCCTACCGTGTGAGAGATAAAGAAGTTGTTTCTGATAGATCCTCGGTCTAAGTATCAGGCTTCCTTCTATGAGAAAAATGGCAATTGTTGCTCTCTCTATGTCCAATTCAGCTATCCTACTTGGACTAGGTACATACAAGAAGTAAGACTTAAAATTTTATTTTAGTTCTGTAAAAGTGTGTATGAAGAAGAAAAAAAAAAGAGAAAAAGCTTCCCTATGAACAAATGCTAGATATAGCCAAAAATGAAAACTAGAACATTTCATTTGGAAGTGAGAGGAAGCTAATCTTAGGAGTACTTCAAAGATAGATATTCATAATGTAGATGGTGTACATTAGACCAGACCAGGTTTTCTCTTATTTAGTTTTTTCCTTTTTGATTGTTGTGTCTTTTTATGTCCTTTCCTTTGTTCTTATAATGATGGTTTGCTAGTTTTGAATTTACATTGGCCCCTAGTTCTTGTATAACAAATGGACTTTTGTAGGTTGTTCCAACTAACATGGTTGCAGGATACCGGCTTCATATATGATCGATACAACTTGAGCAAAGTATGCTTTCCCCCATTACTTCATGTGCTCTTAGTTCAATCATCTTAAAGCTCCTGATGCGTTCTATGAGAAAAGTAATGTTTGTAGGATTATTGCCTCAATTCACTTCACAACCTCCATGTGTTAGCGAACTGTTTGTCATCTTGATATGTGGTGTTAGGTCCTCTATTTTGATTTAATTTTCAATTTAAAATTATCATCTCAAATCCAAAGTTCTCTTTTATTGTAACTTCTCATGAAACTATGATAATATTGATAGACTTTTGATAAATCCTTCTCTTTGGACCTGACTGGTGCGTCTTCTACTGGAGCAACCAAATTCTTATTTATATCTTAGCTTAGTTCACTAGCTTGTGTTGTAATTTTCGCAGTTGAAATTATATGCAGTTTGAAAAGTTTACTCATCACATGCAAGATGGTTGGGGATTAGCAACTGATGGGGGAGTTCTTTTTGGAAGTGATGGAACATCAACATTATATGAGATTGATCCTCAGGCAATGAAAGGTTTTACCATCTACAGCCTACGTGAAATTTAGTTGCTTCTTTCCTTACTTAAGATGGTGATTCTCCTTTTCTTGGTGTAGTCATCAGAAAACAAGTTGTCAAGTCTCAAGGGCATGAAGTGCCCTACCTCAATGAGTTGGAGTATGTGAAAAATGAAGTCTGGGCAAATGTTTATGTGGTATGAACTGCTCCTTTTACTGAGTTGGCTTTGTGTTTTTCCCATTATTTTCTACACTATCCACATATTTAGGAAAACATCTCTGAGCAACTTTATCAAATAGTTGTTTTGGTTATAGTATTCAGGGATATAGTTCCAGAAAACAACCTTTCTTGAGAAGCTAGTTTTATTATGTCATATAGTTTTGTTCGACTTATTGAGTTTTCAATAAAGATATGTTGTGTATGGAATCACTGTATGAACCAAGAGTCTATTTGGTGACTCAATTAAGTCCGATCCTGTTCTTATCCAGTCTGAAGTAAGTTAGAGCAACTGTCTCGGCAAGCCTCTTCATAAGCATACTCCAATAAGATTTTGTTATGACGCTAGAAGGTGGCAGACAATCTTCTTCTTTTTCGACATTTAGTGTCATATTTCTTAACTCCAGATTTGAGTTTAAATTAGAGGCCGAAGTAATGTCGGTGTTGCATTTCTCTGCAGACTGATTGCATTGCTAGAATCTCACCAAAAGATGGAACTGTGATTGGGTGGATTCTCCTCCAATCTTTGAGGTTTAGCTTTTGTTCTTTGTCCTAATGTATCGCTGTTCACAAGTTCTGCTCGAGATTTATTAAATGATAGATTCTATGGCTCTTTTCAGGGAAGATCTAATATCAAGAGGCTATAAGGTACTTTTTTTACCTTTGCGTGTAAGATGCATTATTTTGGTATCTGTTTCTCTTCCTCTCTCCCTTTTTTTTTAATCTTCTGTTGATAAAGCCTTGGATGGCTGTAACATTGATTGATGATATGGATGATGAGAAGTGAAGCAGAGGATAATTAGCTGTACCTTATTCAGAGTAAGTTAGGAGTGAAGATGAAAGAGAAGTTCCCAACCTCTCCACTTAGATGGAAAGGAGGCTATACTGATGGGAAGTGAGACGTGCTTCCATATATGAAATTAGTTACACCAGGATTCTAAGGATAATACTGTAACCATATTGATTACTACCTTCATCCCCTCCTTTTACTAAATAACAAGGAACTAGTAAAGTCATTTACTTCCATCAGCGAAAGAACTTTAACCCCTGCACCTTCACATTCCTTTGCCCCGCCCCCCTCCAGGTTCTTTGATGTTATAGAGCGAAAGCTAAATCCTCTATTGCACTTCATTGCAGGACTTTGAGGTACTGAATGGAATCGCATGGGACAGAGATGGTGACCGTATTTTTGGTAAGAATTAATCATTATGAAATTTTCTGTGGCCCGCATCAGCTTTTTGGATAAATCCACACTTAAGTGTAGCCCCTTAATGTTTCATGTATAATGCATAATAAATTTTCAATTTTCATTGAACGAGTATCAGTAGAATGTTTCTAATCTTGAAGGCTTTATCTTCCCTTTATGTTCTTATATCATATTATTGCTCAACGTTGTTACACAATCTGCACTTTTGGTTTAGTTGTCATCCCTCTCCCTCAATTATTATCATGCAATCCAAGCACAAAAACCTCAATTTGTGAGACACAGAAAAACATAGTATACATTTAATACCAAAGTAAAATGTCCAATAGAGGACTTTCGGCAGCTGTTGAATTGCGTATTAACAATCTCTTCTAGTAATCCTTAGCATTTGGATGGTTCTGTGAATAACATCATTCTGTCCTTCACTGCAGTGACAGGGAAACTATGGCCAAAGTTGTTTGAGATCAAGTTGCTTCCTCTCCCACCGAATGCTCCACTGATTGGAGAAATCAATAATTTATGCATCCCAAAACCGTTCTTTCTTGGAAAACTCGAGAGCTGATTATGCTTATCATTTCTTATGAAGCTTTTGGAGCTATTTTTAGCAACATCTATTTCTTGATCAGCTCTTCCTACATTTTACGTCTATTGGTTTGTATAAGATCAGCTATTTGTGTATAATGCCAGTCAACTAAAAGTGGAATTAAGCAGTGCACGTCAGAATATGTTTGTAATTATGAGATGCAAAGGTATTTCAGTACCCCTAACAATTCCAGCAATTTTGTATTAAAGTATGAACTACAAAGATGATCTGAAATGGGACTAATTGCGGTACAGACATCAATGGCTGACAACTGATAAATGGCAGGAAATATAAGGATATTAGTGAATTAAAAGCTACAGCTTTATGCCGCTAGTATCTAGAAGATTATAATAAACCTGATGCAAGGAGCTAATCTAATTGCTGTCCCAACAGCTACTATGGCTACTTTTAGTCCTTTCAAAGATTACTTGCCAATGTATGCTCAAGGACACTAAGTCCAAGAGTGAAGCATTTGAGGTAACATCTATAACTTGATTTTAACCAGAAGACTGGAAAACATGTACTGGAGCAAATGTTGTTTAATTAAAAATCAAAATGGTTCCAAAACTTTGAAGCATAACAAGAACAAGAGACTAGCTGGATGTCTCTCTATCTTTTACTCAACAGTAAGTAGCTGCAGCACAAGTCTGGAACTGAATCTCATCAACAGGCAATTTATCACTGGGATAAGGACAATCAATTTTCTGATCAGGCAACAGAGCACACGGCTGAGGACTCACTTGACTAGAAACCCCCTGTATATCACTGCAGTTCCATGGTTGTTTCTTAGCATGTTCTGACAACTCGATGCTCACATTTGAAATGCAAATTCCGCTGAAGGTATCATCTTTTATCCCCACTAATTTCCCTGCTATTGTAACATTCTTAGATACAACGTCCCTAAAATTAATTCCCTGAATGACAGGAAGTGCTTTTGGATCAAAATGATCATCAGGATGAGACCCATAATCGCCTGTCATCCAAAAGGTATATTTCATTGTCTGCAATGTCATTCCTTTCACAAACACGTCTTTAACGTATGCCCCTCTTCCTATAGCAGTTTTGATTCTAACACCTGATTCAGAACTGATTGCTGTAATGTTTTCAGCTCTAACATCTTGAATGCCACCGGACATTTCGCTTCCAAGAGCAATGACTGCACTATCAGGAGATATGCAGGTAAGTCTTCTTATGATTAGGTGCTGTGTAGGCATTCCAAATGCTATTCCATATTCATCCCAACCACTTTTCACTGCTATACAATCGTCCCCTGAGACTATGAAGCAATCTTCAATTCTGGTGTTTGAACAAGAATCTGCCGAACAACCAAAAACTGAATTACTTACAAATGACAGTCATTTTTCTTACATATTTACCATGTTCTTTTAACAAACCTGGGTCAATCCCATCTGTGTTTGGTGAATCAGTTGGTGCAAGGATTGTTAATCCCTTGATCACCACAAAACTGCATTTTTAAAGGAACAAATTATTTAAGAACCGACTAGTAAATGTCAAGCACGTTACTGGAATATACAACAACCACAATTACAATTACTGTTACTATGTCTCAATCCTAAGTAAGTTGAGGCCAGCTATAAAATCATCATTTTCTGTGTCTCTATTTAAACAAGTTAGTAGAATATGATATGATTAAATGAGGGGAAGAAGAAACTAAACCTGCTGTAAACTGGATGAACATTCCACGAAGGAGAGTTGATCAAGGTAAGATTGGAAATCTGGACATGATCGGAGAACATGATCTCAATGAGGTAAGGTCGCGTGTAGTTCAATTGGCCTTGACAAAATTTAGTCCACCACTGTTGACCCTGACCATCTATCGTCCCATTTCCACCTGTTCATTTTCAGCATAAATTTAACAAAGAACATCAGAAGTGTTGGCCTCTGTCTTTGGCATATTAGTTTGGGTTGATCGAACAAAAAGGGAGTAACCAATGGATATTAACCTGTAATGACTACATCAGTCAAGTTTGTTCCGAAGATGAGACTTATAAACCTTGGTCCTGCAGCATCTCTTCCTCTTCCATAAGATGGCAATGGTGGAATTAAATCCCACTCTGCCTCATCCTATACACATCACATAGTGTATCTTAACAAGAAATATTGCATCTTACGTCACAGAACCTCGTCTAGATTTGCTAGGTCAAGTCACAAGTATAATGTTAATGTTGTGCTTTTAAATGAGATGTCCCATTGTGGAGATTCTTATGTCTTTTTATAAAATAAGATACCGAAATTAACTAAACAGACTAAACAAAACTAATATAGGAAGAAAAATTTGAAACACGGGGACAATTTTGAAATAATCTAATTTTGATAATAAACAATTGATTATTCAGAAAACGGAAAAGGCCTAAAAATGCCACTCAACTTTTAGAAATGGTTTATCTATGCAATCCGTTAAAAAAATGCTCATTTCATGCCACTGCCATTACACATTTGGCCCATCCATGCCATTATTGACTAATGACAGTGGCATGGATGGGCCAAATAAAAATTGAGCCGTTAGTCAATAATGGCATGGATGGGCCAAATGTGTAACGGCAGTGGCATGAAATGAGCATTTTTTTAACGGATGACATGGATAGACCATTTCTGAAAGTTGAGCGGCATTTTTAGGCCTTCGATTGACACTTTCCAGAGGGGTATAAGGGGAAAAAATAATCATGGGACACCAAAGCTATTTGTCCTTCCGTCCCTTGAATAGATAGAGCGGAAGGGCAAAGCTTTTGGTTTTTTCATGTCGTTAAGAAATATAACAGTGATTTTTTCATGTTAATATTTTTTTGGTGATTTCTTTTATTGCAATTGATATCCTTTTTTATTTCCTTTCCCTTTGATTTGGACGTTCAGATGAGAATTTTAAAAAAAATCATAAAGAAAAAGTTCAAACATTTCTTTTGAAAAAAAATTTAAGAGAGCATAAAGAAATGAATGAAAGAAACCTGAGAAGCTAGAATGACAGCATCCTGGTGTATATAAAGAGTAAAATTGCTAGTGAGATTGAAAGGGCCTGTTAGCCATTTCCCAGGAGGAACAATGAGCTGTGCTCCCCCATCTGTTGCAAATTTGCTCAATTCACTAATTGCTCTTCTAAAAGCCTCTGTGTTTGACGTATATCCATCTCCTTTGCCTCCAAAATCTGTCAAAACTGCAGTGTGCTTTCTACAGTTTATTGCTTCATAGTCCACTGATCCTGCAGTATCATCACTGCATTCCGCTGCTCTAAGGCATAGCATTCCCCATGTCAAAACGACCAGTACTTTTGCCAAATGCTGTTACAACATTTTTCAATAACAAATCCTTAACAATAAAACAATAATAACAACATAGAAATATAATGATAACCGATGCAAACACTTGAATTAAATAGAGAAGTTCAAGGGTGAGAAAGAATTACATTGCATTTTAATGTTTGATAAAACTCCATTGGTGAGAAAAAAAAGCTTTTGAATGAGTGAATGATCTAAAGATTCTCTTATATAGTAGTAGTATTTTATAATACCATTTTAAAATCAAATTCATTTGGTCTTAGATTGTATCAGTCTTAGAATTTAATAATTAACCAAATGAACAAAGGGTCTCAACCATTTTGGGAGATTTTCACGTATGGAAGTTTATTATTTGATTCCAATAAATATGGCAACTTTTGCTACTCGAAGCTGTTATTATTATTTTTTTGGATTTTAAATTCCAAGAAATAAATTTTTTATCGATGCAAATTTGGTAAGAATTTTGATGTGCTCCTATATTAGTTTGGCCAAGGAGAGAATCCTCTTGCTACTGCATTTGCAAAGTATTCTTCTATTAGAGAAATAACGGTACTGAAAAGGTAATAAAATTTTAAAACCAAGGTCATTAATCAATCTCACAAAAGAAGAAATAAATCCGGTCCCACTGTAACATGTAGGGTATGGTGAAAGAGTTTTATGCGCCATATGAAACAACCTCTCTATCTTTGTAAGGTAGGGATAATTTCTGTGTACCCAATATTCCATGTGTAGGATTATATTGAATTTGTTATTGTTATTGTTGTCAATGTTCAGTAAGTTCTAAGCGGTCATGAGGCCAACTGCATGAGAAATCTCTTCTTTATGTGGAGTATTTTTTCGAAAATTCATTAAGTCAAAGAAGCAAACCTCCCCAAAAGAAAAATATAATAAAATCCCAAACTTATGATGGAACCACATATACCGAAGGGTAGTTAGTCGAACACCCTTCATTGTATGATTATACTTTATTTATAAGAAAATCTATATAGTGCGTATATAACTTAAAAGTTACTCCACTTGTTATACATAAATATTAAAACTTGAACATTATCAGTGAAATTTCTAATTTTGCTATTGTACCGCTATCTATCACACATTGATGGTGCCCATTTGGCAAGAGCATCTACCAGGCTTCAAATTAATATGGGCTTCCATGGATTTTGGTGTTCTATACACTGGCCTTTTCTAAAGTTTTCATTGGTGAAATTTACCTAGCTATGTTATAATAGAAACTTATTTACCACTTTATTTAGGTTGGTACTTAACTACATTCTATATCTAATATTTACCATTTACGTACAAAATCATAAAAAAAGAAGAAAATAGAAGATTCCTTAAATTTAGCATCTCATTCTCCTTTACCAATCGTCCTCCTAAAAATTCGAATTTCATTTATTTTTCAAAAGATTTCACACCCCATTCTCTCTCCCTCATACTTATCACCCAAAAGCGGTACTTCTCTCACAATGCAGACGAAAATGGCAAAAATCTTGTCTCTAAAATTGCAGCAGCAAAGGATTCTCCATTGATATCCATTAACAAAATTCGAAACATTGAATTCAATATTCGGGATTTACGAATTTGTGATTTATTTGGATTGGGTGTTCTTGCAAATGATGGAGAATCTTGTAGTTTATATCTCAAATTTGAGGGAAATTGGTTAAGTTTAAAGTTGGGTTTAGGTAAAATTTCAGATTGAAACTCAAACAAAACGAAGTTTCAGGAATTGTATGATAATTGTATGACAAATGTATCACAATTGTTTTAGAATTGTGTCACCATTGTATCAAAATCGTATGTTACTTGTATATGATACATCTACCTAAAAAAATACTTGATACAATACTAATACAATATTATATCATATTTTAAGTTTAGAGTTGTGATTGAAACTTGAAGAAGATGGAGATCACAATTGTATCACAATTATTTAGAAACGTCTCACAGTTTGTATCACAAATGGATGATAACTGTCACGACCCAAAATCCACTATAGGTCATGATGGCGCCCAACGGTGCCGTTAGGCAAGCCAATGGTGAGCTACCAACTTAATTATTTATTTTATTATTTTTAAAATCATGAATCTTATTAGATAGAGAGATCAATGCATTAAAAAAAATAATAGATAGGTACAATTTAATTGCAATATAAAGTAATAATGTGTCAATGTAAAGCAAACCATAAACAAATTCTAGAACATCCTCCAAACCCGGTATCACAAGTGCATGAGCATCTACTAGGAAGTACAATAACAATACAACATCTGTCTAGAATGCAAGATAGACAAGATAATATAAATAATTATGATGGAGATTCCCTATGCTGCGAGTCGTAACATGGGATGCAGCTCACCGTGAAGTCCCCGCAATTGCTGTGCCTTTGCGCCCAAAAGACCCTAGAAATATATATACCTGCACAATAAGTGCAGAAGTGTAGCATGAGTACGCAACGTACCCAGTAAGTATCTAGCCTAACCCCGGAGAAGTAGTGACGAGGAGTCGACATCGACACTTACTAGTGGTCCAATAAATCAAGTACAGTACAAAGTAAACAAGTATGAAGCATGGTAATTAAACAGTGAAAACAAATATAGGTACATGATACGATCATTATCTGAACAGTAAACACAAGTCCTCACATATCGGTTACCTCCTCAAATAGAGTATATAATACGGTCCCCACCAGATAGGTCGTCACAACTCAAGTCAGAAAAACTCACGGATAAACTGGCTTCTTGTCAAATATTACGCACAATTCTCCCGAGGTGAACGGCCCGATCCCATAAGAGTATTTCATGAAGTTGCCGAGCCGAACAATCCAATCCCATAAGAATATGATACATGATGCTGCCGAGGCGAGCGTGCCGATCCCATAAGAGTGTTTTATAGAAATGCCCAGGCGAACAACCCCATCCTATAAGAATATAATACATGATATTGCCGAGGCGAACGACCCGATCCCATAAGAGTGTGTTACAATAATATCCAGCCGAGGCGAATGGCCCGATCCCATAAGAGTGTGGTACATCATCCTGTTGAGGCGAATGACCCGATTCCATAAGAGTGTGATACATAATCCTGCCAAGACGAACGTCCCGATCCCATTAAAATAAGAATCTTTAATGGGTCCTTGACCCCACTCACGAATATAAGTGTGAGTTATGAAATTTAAGGAAACTTTTCGATGAATACGCACAACGCGGGAGAAATTCGTAAGTGAAGCATAATTTTCCGCGGCTTATCAAGTATCTAAAACAGCGAGTCCATTACTTTACATGAGTCTAGTCTCATGTCGTAGTGCAAATTAAAATAATTAACCAGGCAATAATAAATCAAATAGTACAATTAAAGTATGGCGTGAGTCTAAGTCTATCCGGACATAAACAAGAATGCTAGCATACGCACGGACACTCGTCACCTCATACGTGCGTGGCTCCCACAACATGTAGCACATAACAAATATAATACCTATGGGGTAAATTTCCTCTCACAAGATTATACAGGAGACTTACCTTGCTCCGAAGTTCTATAACCGGCTCCAACGCCTCTCTAACACCCCAAATCGATGCCCATCGATCTGAAACTAGTCAAACAACGTACAAACCAATAAAAATATACTCCAATACTCATAATTTAACAATTCATAACAATTCCCAACTCCGCTCGAAAAGTCAACAAAGTCAACCATCGGGCCCACGTGCTCGAATTTCAAAAACTTTCTAAGATAAACGTTACCCATAATACCACGAACTCAAATATATAATTTATTCCTAATTCCATGTCCAATTTCGTGGTCAAAATCTAAAAATATCATATCTAGGTTTTCTTCCAAAGATTCCATAATTTCTATCAATTTTTCATGTTAAAATTCATATATAACCCATGTATTTAACTCGAGACAAGTAGGAATAACTCACTTTATGATATATGGCATAAACGATCTTCAAGAATCACCCCAAATCGCCCCACATGAGCTCCAAGAACTTAAAAGTGATGAAATGAGCTCAAATCCCGAAATTAGATGTTTAATACACCTGCCATGCCTCCTTCTTTGCGATCGCGGTCAATATCCATGTAATCACGATTAACAAAAGTTCCAGCATCGTTTCCTTCATTGCGACCGCGGCCAAACCTCGCGATCGCGATGTACAAATTTTGTTTCCTCTTCACCGACACTCTTCGGTATAATGGCTATAACTCTTTGTACAAAATTCCAAATAACAAACGGTTTGATTTTCTGAAAACTAGATTCAAAGGGCTACAACTTTAGTTTTTGGATCATTCCCAAATTCCTTATAGGTTGTAAGATATAAGCTCCCGAATTCAAACCACTGACAGTAGAAATTCCTTCTACGCGATCACGAATTTCCTTCCGCGATCGCGATTCACAAGGCCTGGAACAACACTTTGCTCTTTGTGATCGCGGCCCTTTCTTCGCGATCGCGAAGAAGGATGCACCAGATCTCAGAAACAGTAGCTCAAACATGGCGAAATGACCCGTAGCCTATCCGAAATACACCCGAGGCCCCCGGGACCCCGTCCAATCATACCAATCATTCCCAAAACATGATGCAAACTTGCTCGAGGCCTCAAATCACACCAAACAACATCCAAACTACGAATCGACAATCAAACCCCTTCTTTCAACTTTTAAACTTTCAAACTTCGCCGAATGTGTCCGAATTACACTTAAACATTTCGGAATGACGCCAAATTTCACGTACAAGTCACAAATCACAATACGAATCTATTCCAAGGCTTGAAATCCCAAACGGACATCGATAACACCAAAGTCCACTTCAAATCAAACTTAGGAAATTCTAAAACCTTCAAAATGCCAACTTTCCACAATAAGTGCCAAAATTTCCAGACCACCCGATACTCAACCCAAACATACGCCCAAGTCCGAAATCATCATACAAACCTATTGGAACCTTCAAATCTCGATTCCGAGGTCGTTTACTCAAAAGTCAAACCTTGGTTAACTCTTCCAACTTAAAGCTTCCGAATTGAGAATTTTCCATTTGAATCAACCCCAAACTTCCCGATATGTAATTTCGACTACGCGTATAAGTCATAAAACATGAAGTGAAGCTACTCAAGGCGCGCTAGAGCTCAAAACGACCGATCGGGTCGTTACATTACCCCCCACTTAACATACATTCGTCCTCGAATGTGCCAAGAACCACTCCGGAATTGCCCAAAACCACTATTTAACACCTCGTGCACCTACCCGTGCCACCAAAACCCATGTGAGCACATTAGCTCAAGCCAGACTGAAGATCCTTCCTGCCATCTTAGCCCCTAAGCCTTAAAACTAGATTCTAACATCTGGAATCCTCTACCACGTCTGATTCTAACATACGAACACCGTATCAATCTCAACCTGCTGTACCAAATATGATCATGCACCCATGCAGAAACCACACATTGCACCGCATAACAAGTATGCCCATAATAACATCCTCCAATCGTAGAAGCTGCAAATTCACTAACCTGATGCCCGTAGTATACCTCATAACGCGTATAAGCCCTGATCCAACCCTCGCGATACTGCAACGATGAAAGCGACCTCGTAGAAGCTCATAACCACCTGCCAAATTAATAAATCATAGAGTCTCTCCACTTGACAAGAACCATTACCTCATTCTGAACTGAATAATGACATTTTTTTCTCTTTAATATACATCATATAAATCTGATTGCACTAACTCCAGGTCCAACCACCTCATCTCACCCAGTACAAGCTGCTCGACTAACAAGCCACATCAAAACCACCCACAATCTCCTACGACGACATCAATGCACCAATAAACTACAACTCGAATATGACTTATAAGGAAGAATGAACTCTGGCAAAGAACTACCCGACCCGCGTAACAAATAAAATGGCCAAATAGATGCTATGAGCCTATCTCAGAGATGAGAAACAAGGCATACAAAATAGGTATAAGGATTCATACTCAATATCTCACTGTTGTGGCGTGCAACCCAATCTACACATCATACCCGTGACGGCGTGCCACCCGATCCACACATAGCTATCAATAAGGAAATACCCATCGAGCCAAAATGCTCATACCCACAAATGCCCGAATATCGACCACGAGCATGCTAAGTTTGTAAATACAACCTTGGGGAGACGGATAGCGCCATGCGCTACAAAATTCGAGCTTGACTAAGGTGCAATAAACGACAAGCTACACAGGACCACAACACAGGTGTGAATAATCAAGTCGTCTCACAACCCACGTGGTATAAAAGAGTAGCACTTGAAATAAATGACGCCAGGAATACCATCCACTACGCCCGAAGACCCGTCCATAAGTGATGCTATGCCGAATAAGTATATCTGATCCGGTATAAAATATACGTTCATATTAGGCCTAACAACGGACCTCAAGTCGATTCCGATCATCTTCAAATGGGTCTATAACCTCCCAAAGATCCACAATGACCATATCCATGACACATACGATCAACCGTTAGATTAGGAATAAACTTCCACAGTCGGCAACCAGAGAAATAGAGCGCCTCTCAGACATAAACTCTCCCATCTGTGACAGTACTAGAATCTCCATACCTAATTTCAATCTCTACCACATAAATGGCCGACACGCCACCCTTATACAACCATCCCGCATGAGTCACTCCACGACCTCCTGCACTAGGTAGCAAGGTCTGAACATCCATACCACAAACCGTACAAATCTTGTAATGCAAATCAAGAATTCCCAAATCAATACTCCATGCCTCTTACACAGAACACCATTCTCAGGCGACACTAAGATAGCACCAACATACTCTGAACATCTGAAATCTTCCCCCCCTCTCTGCTCTTT